CCCCCCCTCTTCCTTCTTACTGTAACTCTGAAGTTCTGTATCGTACTAGTCCGCAGAGAGCAGAAGAGGGTCCTGAAGCAAGGAAAGAAAAAAGGGCCCCCCCTATGCCATTTCTTGGATTCTGGGAGGCCTTTCTCTCTGAGCCTCTGGCCGGGGCGCGCGCTCCGAGCACGAGTCATTATCGGGGGGCGATCAGGGGACGGCTCCACCGCCGCTATAAGTGTCGTACGAATATTCTGGATTCCCAGTCGTGCCAGTGTGATCCGTGTCAACTACAGTGAATGCTAGCCGAGTTTTTAAAGACTCGAGGTGCCGCTAACCGCTAGTCGCCCGCGCTTGCGTTGCTTCATTTGCTCGCAAATGGTTGGGGATCGGCGGAGGGTATGCGCTGGATACCAGGTTTCTGCAAAGCGGTTTTGGTTTTCTGCCTCCCTTGACAAAATCATTCTCAATCACTCACTGCACCACACACCTATCGCAACGGGGAGTCCCAATTCTTTGCTGGCCTGGCTGTTAGTGTAGACAACACGCTACTTGACGTCAGGTGGCGTCGTTGAACTGCTGTCTAGCCTTTGGCGGTCTTTGGCCTACCTAGTAGCCAGATGAGCGCCGGCCAACGACGTGACGAGTATCGCTAATCCACCGACGGGCTCACCAGTTACTGTCAACTTTAGAAAGACTGGCCGACGACAGGACTCGATTGGGGTAGCAGACGCGTGAAATTCAATGTAACCTCGTTAAACACTAACAGATGAAGACACCCTTCACCCCAGCAGAGTCTGTCGGGTAACTCCGTCGGCGTTTTGCGAATTTCCAGCAATGCCGTTGCCCTCCTATTGGATTGCGAGGTATATGTATCAATCAATCGACGGAGAACATCTGTAACCCTGGGATCGGAAACGTGGCTAAGCGGCCAAGCCAACGCAACGGTCATGGTACGATACCATCTGCGGCTCCGTGAGTGGCATCAATCGCGTCACCTGCCCTGGCCCCAATGCTTCGCCAACTCGCGTAATGATCTGGTAGAGTGGGGGAGGGGGGGGGATTTATGTATGATCCCGTCTGACCCTCTTTCGTCGCAGACGGGACCAGGATATGAGAAAAAAGGCTATTGAACTTTGTGTCTCTCTCCGTAAATCATCCAATAGTTTTATACTTTTCCATCAGCTCAATTGGGAAGAGAGGAAATGTGGCCTAGGGGGGCAGTGAATTTTGCCAATCTTCATTTGATTTTTCTGGAAGGGCGCAGGGGAATTCCCTGAGATTCTTTCTAGATGGATCATGATAGTTTCTGCACAGCCGCCATGCGACCGATTCGGCCTGCACTCCCGCGGCTTTCATCTCCCCTCTGCCGTATACGGATACACACACACACGACTGATCTGAATGGAGAACATCGGCCATCCCTGGAACGGTGGACCTGACTGGGCTGCCTGCACATTCCGGCAGCCCTACCAGGCAAAACCCGGCGCAGGTGTTCGATCGAAATGGCGCTGACGGAGGTTGACCAGCCATCATTCATCCATCACCTACTTATCGAGAATCGAAAACTGGCAGGGAAAGAAGCTGGGTGGACGGATGGGTGTTGGTTCAGACGGAAATTGCAAAAATCCATCACTGGCACGAGCCCCGGACTCATTTCAAAAACAATGCTGCCTCGTGGCGGAATCGAACCGCCGATCTTCTCATATCACTAGTACTAGTGAGACGCTATACCACTTAGCCAACAAGGCGATGCATCCTCAGCCTCAAATTCTGATTCAAGTCGCTTCCGACACGGTTCGGTGATCGTCAACGTAGCCAGAGACAATGATCATGCCAGTTGATGTCAAGAAGAGTCTTTCGAGATAGCAAAGTCTCTCAATCGTCGCTTTCATACCAAACCAGAGACATTCTGGTCAGAACCACAACTTCCTGGGTATTTCTCATCTCTTCTGTCAGGTAAGATCGTCTAGACTATTCACAATTGTTCACTTCGTATCTCGCCCATCGAGGGAAATTAGACGAGAGTTCATCGTTGGGTGTTTCTGCTCTCTTCTGAACTTGGTATGAATTTCTTCAAAGTCCATTATTTTCCCAAGCACTTCTTTTGACTAGTATTCGTGGAGTCTAATTATCTAGATCCTATCGACATTATGTTCAGCATACCTCAAGCTTTCAATCCGCGAATGTAGTGGAAGCATTCGACCACGCTGTCTTCCACAGAAGTAATAGTCGGGCAACATCACCTTCAGTTGCAAATGTCTCAATTTGTACTGGAAGATTTTATTTATTTAGCCTGAAGAGAAGCTTCTACCAGGTCACGTGAAAGCATGAGCTGTTGTGATGATGAAAGAGGATGGTGGTTCCTGCCTAGAAGAATGAAACTGCTACCCAAGAGATGTGAGAGACGTCTTCATTTCCCGGTCAACTACAAATTCTTTTAGGCACTTTGTTAAATAACCGAGAAGGAATTATTATTTGAAGCCGGGTATCAAATTATTTCTGCCTGCTACAAAAAAAACAAAGAAAGCAAGTCTTTACAGCTTCGTCATTTCACATCGTCTTCCGGAAAGTGCGCCAATCTGCTCGAGTCTAGATCGATTCAGGCCCTTTCCTTCCTTTCTCAAGTTTGATATCTGCTGGATGCACCTGCCTCGATGAGCGGCAGTTCTTCCTTCCTCTTCTAGCCATTCTCGCAAAGCCCGCCTCTTCATCTTTTCCTTCTTTTGCCTCTAAAAAGTCACCAATCTCCCACGAAGGCTTCCAGTTCAAGTTTTCTTCAACCCAATATCAACCACGTCGCATTTACTTCACGCCAAACGCCTACCAATTCTACTCACCTTACTGGCGAGTACAGCCAGTGCATCTCTTATCCCCGTCAGTCTGTCGCCATAAACTTTCCTCTTCCCTTGCTCCCTTGGCTAACAAATGTCTTAGGTTGACAACAACAATAACAATGCCTCGCAAGAAGAAGACTCCCAACGCCGGCGCCGGTGCTGCCGCTGGTGCTGCCGCTGGTGCTGCCGCTGGTGCTGCCGCTGGTGCTGCCGCCGCCCGCGAATACACCGACTCTGAGCACAAGCTCATGGTCGCCATCATGGAGCTCATGCCGCGCCCTTCCCTCGACTACAACGCCCTCGCCGCCAAGCTCGGCTCCGCCAGCGTCAACGCCGCCCGCATGCGCGTCACTGCTGCCGTCAACAAGCATCCCACCTGGTTCACCGGCCCCGACGACGCCACCAGCAACGACGGCGATGGTACCCCGGTCGAGAAGCCCCCCATCAACCGCACCCCGAAGAAGAAGGTGCCGTCCGGCGAGGATGACGATGAGAATGCCGAGGAGCAGGCCACGCCCCCCAAGAAGAAGGCTCGTACCGACAAGGTCAAGCAGGAGCTGGAGGATGGCATTGAGGTCCAGAATTGAGGCAAGAAGGTACCGAGGGTTTCAGGCTTTGCAACAAAAAAAAGGGGTTGTGGGCAGGCCACATTGAACTTTGGGCAGGTTGTCATCATGCCATTGTGGAAGCGGGTGGTCTTGGACTTCTGCAGACATCCCAGCCGCGTTTAGATGGATACGATGAGTTTGACTGAAGACCTTGGGGATCTTTACACATCGACAGAATTCACAACATTGAATCATTTGCCGAGTCTTGCTTAGTACTGGTTTGAGAAGTCATGCCCTGCATGTGACCCCTCCTTGAATTCTCAGGCGACTCCATGAGATCAAGGCCTCTAAGATGACGGGTCCAGGGAAAGAGCCCGAGAGTCTCTTCACCAATGATGCCGTCCAATACTTGTCTTTCAGCTATATGGCAACAGTAGCCGTGGAATCGCGTGTTGCTGCAAGTGATATACTTCCAAGGTTGGCATCGCTCGTGTTGTCTTGGTTGACTTATATGCTTGAAAATGTGCCGCTCATGTTTTTAATACTTCCGCAAATTGTGACGGGAATCACCACGCCTTCTATATCTGTCAACGAGGTTAACCCTGTGGCTGGATTGCAGAGTCCAGATAACCTGAGGTGTTCACGGAGGGTCAGATCGAGACTTCTCCAGTGTGGAAATGCCATCGCTTCCCACTTAATCCTCCATCGGCTAATTTGCCGACTTTTACCAGGACAATTTGCGGGTGAATAACGCAAAATTCTAAAGTTCATGGGCAAGCATGTTGACTGCAAGAATGCTTGGACATATACATCCCACCGTTCATCCATGATCTAACTAGCCCTCGTTAGGTGCAATCCTTTTGATCTCTTTTCCTTTAGTTTGCGCATCGCGAGTTTCTTCGTATTCGGTTCAACTGCTGACCTGGTGCTACTTCTTGCCTACCCATGGCTCCTTCTTGCTTCGTAAGAGCCACCAAGTTGAAAAAGACGTTACGCTCGTCGTGTCTCGGCCGTCCAAGAATTTCACGCCGCCGAACTCTGCCGGGAGTATCCTCTCCGTACCCTCCTCGCGCCCCCGCCCTTCTCTTACGACTCTCGAGCCGAATGTATTCAGGAACCTACCTAGTGCAGCCGGTGGGTATCTCGCCCTGATCGATGATCGGAATCCTTCTGGTCTTGGATTTCCCTAACCTTTGTCGGTCGTTCTCCTACCCCTAGTCTGCCCGCCGCAGTTTTTCGTCGCTGTACGCCTCTTGCCTCGTCTCGGCGGCTCACCACCAGGAAAAAGGCCGTCAGCCAGCCAGACAGGTGGACGACGCCTCCGCCCGACATGCCGGCATCGCCCGAGTGGCAGGCACGCTTTCAAAAGTCGCGCACATCTTCGTCGTCCGGCAGATCAAAGCCCGCGATCATCCAGTTAATTACAACGGCGAGAAAGCGCGACTATTCGCATATGGAGGATCCATCGTCATCCAACAGTTCGACGTTGAATTCCGCCAACCTGGTGATACGTCTCGCTAGGTCGGCCCAGTTGCCATGCTTGCCTAGTAGCGTGATAGATGAAAGCCGCACATGATGCTTACGTTGTAGATGAAGTACTGCTTTATAGTACCGAGAAACATCGCGGCGGCAGTCGAGCGGTCGCGCGGCAAAGTCGTGCTAAAGGTCGAAAGCAGCCAGTCCGCCAAGTGGCATTAACCAACCGCCTGCGGACAAAGTCAACGAATTACTCCGTTAAAATGCCACGTCAATGTTGTCGATGTTCGACCTGCCTTTGACGAAGATGACGAGATCGTACTGGCCGTTATGGCCGACAAGAGGTCGCGCAATGCTGACGCGTGAACAACCCCCGCTGGGAAAGAAGCTGAACTGGGCGAGCACGGTCAGCCAGATATTTTCGGGTCGCAGGTCGAGGTGTAGGTGTTGCTGCTCGGCGCGGAGGATCATGTACACGAAGCCGTTTTGGCAGGTCACGATGGTGTGTTTGTTGGTGTCGGAGATGGATATTTGGACTAAATCCTGACATTGATCGTCGAGAGATGGGCCTTTGTGGGAGTCTCAGCGTGTTGATGGTGTATATGTGCATCTGCCGCCCACAACTTCGTCGTGCGTTTGGATAACGGTCGGCATTGGGAACGGGGATAAGTGTGCCATGCGCCGAGGCCAAAGGTAGAGGGCAGAATGGGTCTGAGAAACGTTAAAAGACAGATTTCACTGGGGATTATAGGATTTCGAACGGCCAAATACCGTACCTACCTTTCTAAATAGGTTTAAACAACACATTAGGTGCGACGTTGCCTTGGTTGTCGACTCATCACAGCCAAGATGATGGCCGGAGATGAAGAAGTTTGCAAAAGTCTGAGTCATTGCTTCCACGTGCGCGCGTTACATACGTTAAGATTGTCTGTTAGCCCAAGGTTGATGTCCACGCGACGGACTGCTCTTGATACTAACATGGAAGATGATTGAAAACTATGAAGCATGCTCAGAGTTAGTAACACCATTCAAGTATTTGGATTTGGGATAGATTGGGTCCAATCGTTTCGAATTAGCCTCAGCAGTAATGAGTATATGGAGTAAGTAGCAAACAGCTTGTACTACTTAAAAGCAAGAAGACGAGAGCATGGAGGTCATGTACTTGATATGAATGCTGACCGCCAAATGGGTCTATGTTGATACTACTATAGGAAGGTGTCTTAGGACATGTAAGGCGTAGATAGCTGCCCGCAATGAACGACGTCGTTTTTGCGACAGAATGTTCCGGGACACTTGGCCTGTTGCTAAAAGCCTATCGACCAGCTACCATCATAAGTAGCGCGGAGAACTATTTAACTATTTAGAGAAGCGAACTTGAGTATGTCAGCTTATTTGACTGAGATCTCTTTGTTCTAGCGTTGAGAAGCTGGCACTGGCTGGCAGGGCCTAGGTAAAATTTAGAGTAGCCGACAGGCGGGGCCCAATGTCTGAATGAATTCTAATTCGACCGCAGATTCAGCAAATCTGTCTATGATGAGCCTACGTATACCTACATGCACTCAAACGTTCCACGCAGGGCGCCCTTCTGCACAGCACTGCCGCCAGATCAAGCCAATAGCGAATTGCTGATGAGACGTCATGGACCAAAGTCTGGCACCTTTTGTCATCCAATTTTCTGGTCGAATGGGCTGGGCATTGGTGGGTAGGCATGCTCAGAATATTATATCTGATTGAGACCGGAAGAGAGATAGCCATCATGAAGGATCAAATGTAACAGGTTGGGGGCTAGAACAAATGAGAGGAAGGCGGTCGTCGTGTCGGTCGTCGACATAAGCCTTGTAGGGCTGACCTCCCCTCGGGGAAGGGGGGTGGGGAGATGGTCAGCGGCTTACGCACATGATCCGTGTGCGTGTTCGTGCAGCAAGATCCTGTCGACAACTCAGGGTACATGCAGACTACCGTTGTTACACAGCCCGTGACCAATGCGTGTTCGAGTGTCACGCTTCGCCACTGGGGCCTCTGAGGTGAGCGAAAAAGTTGACGTTTCTCTTGCCGCTTCAGATGACGATTGAAGCAAGCCGTTTCGGTGTGAGCTACGTGGAGAGGCCTCTTCAACATGCTCATCTCACTGCTGCTGAGACTTTTGAGCCAATGTGAGACTGCTTAATTGAATTTAATGTTTCTTACTAGAGTTACTAGAGACCAAAAGGCAAAGAGGTAAGAAGACATGACGTGTGTTTGAGACGATGGTATCCCGTAAGTGCAGCTAAGGCCCTTGTGTGCGTCAGATCATTACAGGACAATGGAATAAGTAGGAGACTCGGTTCTTGCTTCGAGTCCGGAGGAGGGATCCCGTGCGGTAATTGAAATACACTTTCATTTGGCTGGGCAGACATTCTCGCCAATGTGTCGGTGACTGGAGGTTACAGTTGTCCTCGGGAAAAGCTATCGGTGCATGATGCTACGGGGTGGTCGGAAGTGATAATTCTAGGCTCGGCTTGGAAAATGATTCCATGCCCCTACCCGAGTTCCTACTGGTGGACGAGACAATAATGATGCCGAGTTACGCGGGATGTGTCAGAGACGGGAGATGGTTGTCCCATTTGGAAAGAAGAATACCAGGATCAAGTCAACCTAGCGCTGATGTGCATATGGGTTGAATACCGAGCAATCAAAAAGGACTTTGTGAAAGACGGCGCGGCGGGTATCGGACCCTTGGGAGCGGAGGTATCCGAATGGTCTCCGTGGTTTTGCAATTGTGGAGCACGGGGTGCCCCGGAGTGACCCGCGGAGCCGTCAGCGCTGGCCCGAAACGAGGACCGGGGGGATGATCCGGCGGACGGCGGTGGTTGGCGCGGGATACGAGAGTGCCACGCCCCGCACACGGCACTAGCAAAAGGAGGATCGGTAGCCTGCTTGCTTATCATGCTCGTGAGGAGTAAGCTGGTAAGCACCCCAGTGGAGCCATTACATTCTGATTGCATGTTGGTTGCTGTGTCTTGTGCAGGGCCGTCTGTGCAAGTTGCATTCACGCTGACTCGGTTGGTTCACGCAGCTGTTGAAAGGTGAACCAACCGCCAGCCACACTCCATCGGTGCAATGCAATCCGACTACCCAGGTGAGGTGCCTTGAGGTTGGGAGATCCACCCCTCCCTTCCTCCCCGCAGACGCCAACAAGGGGACCTTGACGGCCAAGGGCGGGACGCGGCGTGTGCATGCGGCACAGCAGTGGGACGTTGATACTCTGTAAGTAGTACAGAGTCTGTACCATTATACGGCTGCTGCAGCTGCAACGGGTCTGTACCATAGTATTGTGTACTCAGCAGAGGGGGGCGAGAGAGTCATTGGCTCAGAGTCATTGGCCCTGATGGACGATGCAGGGACGCCAGTGACTCGGGGAGAGGACTATTAGTTGGGTAGGTATCTTCGTTGGAGGTATCCGTACAGACAACTGGAACGCCAAGCTTAGCACCTTGATGGACCCCTCTGCAGTCTCCCCCGTCTCGGAACGTGTGGGTGGTCCAATCCGGAATGGCTTGTCACGCTCACCCTCACGCTCGCAGGGGCACGATGCCATAAGACCAGCTGATGGCGCTCTCCCGGGGGTTTCGGTCGTTTTATTCCTTACCTTCTCTGGTTTCCTGCCGCTCCGTCTCTGGTACTCACTATTTTGCTGGAATCAGATATCCAGAGTAATTGCCCCCAAGACACAGAGTTCCGTTGATCCGAGAAACGTCCCCATCTTCCACGTCCCCAAGTTTCCTCACCCGCCCCCCTCGTTCCGAACCCCAGATTTTCGACCCCAACATTTCCACCACCACCACCACCACCACCCCTCGTAACCCTCGTAACCCCACGATGATGGACAGAGAGCAGTCCCCCTTGATGCGGATCCCCGCCGAAATCCGCATCATGATTTACGAATACCTCCTTGATCTCGACCACGCCGGAGACAAGAGACTCGCCGTCCGCAACAAGGCAATGCACCAGCTGCCGGCCGGCGCCCTGAGCACCTACCGCCGCACCTCGTACCGCATCATCGAGCGGTCGTTCCACCGGCAGTGCTTCGAGACGACCTACGCACACCACCGCCCAGCCGCCCACGCTCATAACAACACCAACACCAACACCAACAACACCTCAACATCAACATCAACGTCATCATCAACACCAATGCACCCGGAAATCATGGCCGTCAACCGCCGCATCCACCGCGAAACAAGCCACCTCCTCTACCGCCGCCCCCACGGCTTCGACTTTGGCAGCGACATTGAAGCCGTCGTCCCCTTCCTCAAAGACCTGACCCCCGCCTCCCGCGCAGCCATCCAGGAACTCACCATCCGCAAAGACGGGCCCGTAATGCACGGCACCAGCGAGAGCGACCGCCTCGACTGGGCGGCCATGTGCGCCTACCTCGCCCGGCTGGACACGACGATACCCAGGCTGCGCATCGTCGTCGAGGGCGGGCGGCCGACGGCGGCGGCGTGGGCGGGGCTCAAGGCGCTGAGCGTCTCGGACCTGCGGCTGCTGGCGCTCATCAAGCACGACAGCATGGACTGGGTCGCGGCGCTGGCGGCGGTCCGGGGGCTGGCGAGGCTGGAGATTGTGCCGCGGGTGCGGTACCTCCCCGCGCCGGGGACTACGGCGACGCTGTTGTTTGCGGCCTTTTCGGCGTCGATTGATACGGCGCTTGTGGAGTATTTGCAGACCGAGTGCGGGCTTCCTGCTGTGGCTGCTTCGTTGACGGCTGGAGAGGCGTGATTTGTGATTTGTGATGATGATGATGATGATGATGATGAGGAGGAGGTGGAGATGGAGATGGGATGCTTGTCGAGTTGCTTTTGGCCTTGCCACTCGGGAAATCCGGGGGCAGGGAGATCGAGCCTACTGATTGCGGGGTGGGCAAAACTGGAGAGAATGCCGAGTACGACGTGGATTTGGATGGCGTTTTGTTTTGTTGGAGTAAGGGATTCTTGAACCCACACACACATCATGCAGCGAGGGCACATGGGTACGGGGACTGGTGCGCAAACGGGTTGGATGATGGGGGTGTATGAACATGGGCATTTGCCCAGCTGAATTTTGGGTTTCTGGTCTATTTCTGTCATGTTTCTGTCATACGAGCATATGATGGTGTGTGAGTTAGCTGAGGGGTTGAATCAACCGACCGACGTTACTTTTGGCTTCTTCTTAATGAGGCCTCTGTCGATCGCCACGTTGTCGAGTTGGTTATAGTCTGTCTGCAAGAAAATGAAGTGCACCGACGGCCCAATGCAGCCATAGCGGGGAGCGCTGGCCGGAGGATGACCCCGGTGCCGCAAACCTTGGACCAAGATGGGACTTTTACTACTCTCAACTTTAAGTGTATAGTGACGCTATTACAATGCTGCCGAGGGGACGGGCGGGCAAGTTTACCATGAGGAAATCCAGTACCTACTTTGGTCAAGGAAAAATAGTGTGTACTAATTACTTTACAATTGTTCTACCAAGACAGCCGTATTACTATAAACTCACACCTCACATAGTATCCTAATCGTCTAGTTGGAAACCCCCCAGAACGACACTCGAGCGTACGTTTACGAAACAGAACACCAAAGCGGCAGTATCCATCTCAATAACTAGACAAAGGATATACTGAGTGTGACAGGCCAGTCTCAGGAGCACAAACAAGCCAGCTCTCCAAGAAAGCCGAACCCGCCACCGCCGCCTCCAAAACATTCCCCGTCCAGTCGCGAAGCTGAATTCAAGAAAAGGATACAATGACATATCCGTAAATGGCATCCGCGCCGCCCTGCGTAGCGCCGGTAACAGCGCCGTCGACGAAACTCGAACCGCCTCCGCCTCCAGCACTCGCGATACCGTTGCCGTTGGTGAAGACCAGATAGACGCTGGACCCGCTCCCGCCACCAAAGTATCCTCCCCCACCGGCGCCGGAACCCCCCACACCGTTCCCGTTGACAAAAGGCGTAGGGCTGCCGTTGCCCCCGCTCCGTCCGCTCCCCGCCACACCGTTATTGGCCGCGGTGGAGTATCCCGTATGTACGCCTCCGGCGCCAGCGGCACTCGCTGTGCCCGGACTCCCTCCCATCGCGTACGAGTAGATTGCCGAAGCATCGTTGGCAGCGGCGAACTCCCTGCCGTGACCTTGCGTTCCCGCGTTCCCGGTATTGTCGTCATTCACAATCTGCCGATCAGGTGCTGCCGAAGTCGACGAGGAGAAGTAGTAGTTGGCACCGCCGCCGCCTCCACCCGCAACGGCGAGGAGCGTGCTGCCGCCGACGTAAATGGCCGATGCGCCTCCGCCGCCGCCGCCTCCGGTGACGGCGTTTCCGCCGCTGCCGAATGCGCTCGATCCACCGGGGCCCACGTCCCCCTCGCCACCGGCGCCTCCTGCGATGGCATTGATGCGTTGCCCGGGCGTGACGGCATAGGACCCGGTAATTCTTCGTCCGTAGCCTCCGCCACGATAAAGCTGTCCACCGGCGCCGCCAATCATTGTAAATGTCATGGTTTCTGCACATGCGGGTACTGTGATTGTCGCCTGGGCGCCTTGGGTGCTGCTGGCGGAGACCGTTTGTGATGTCGTTGGCACAGCGCAAGAATAGGTGACGACAGTCGTTGTACCGCCCGCGGTGGCGGGTAGAGTTGTGAGACCGGTCTTTGTGCCCGTCGAGGTGATTGTCGTCAAGAAGCCAGTGACAGGGGGCACGAATGTGACTACAGTAGACGGGCCGCCGCTAGGGCCGGGGGGGAGAGTCGTTAGGCCGGTCGTTGAGCCTGTTGAGGTGACAGTCACTGGCATAAGAGGAGCGGAGGGAGTGACGAAAGTGATGACAGTCGAAGGGCCGCCACTAGGGCCAGGGGGAAGGGTTGTCAGCCCAGTCACGTCCCCAGTTGAAGTCACTGTGACTAGTGTGAGAGGGATCGAGGAGGTCACAAAAGTAACAACCGTCGAAGGGCCACCGCTGGGGCCCGGAAGAAGGGTTGTTAGGCCGGTGGTGGATGCTGTTGATGTGACCGTGACTGGCGTGAGAGGACTGGCTGAGGGAGTCACAAAAGTGATGATAGTCGATGGGCCACTGCTGGGGCCGGGGGGGAGAGTAGTTAATCCGGTGGTCGATGCCGTCGATGTGACGGTCACGGGAGAAAGAGGACTTATTAACGGAGTTACAAAAGTAACAACGGTCGAAGGGCCACCGTCGGGGCCAGGGGCCAGCGTAGTCAGACCGGTGGTTGAAGCTGTTGATGTGACGGTCACAGGCGGAACCTCACTCGCTGACGGGGCCAGGGGCCAGCGTAGTCAGACCGGTGGTTGAAGCTGTTGATGTGACGGTCACAGGCGGAACCTCACTCGCTGACGGGGCCACATAAGTGACGACAGTGTTGGGGCCGCCTGGTCCCCCAGGAATGGTAGTCAATCCCGTAGTAATGGCGGTCGACGTGAGTGTTACAGGGGCTGGTAGAGTCACGAATGTGATCACGCTAGTGGTGCCAACTGGGTCAGTGGGATTAACCGTCGTGACTCCGGTCGTGGTTCCGGTAGAGGTGACTGTAACCAGAACCCCCGGGCGAAGAACAAACGTAATAACAGTCTTCGGGCCTCCTGGGCCTCCTGAAACTGTAGTGAGGCCTGTGGTAGTGCCGGTAGAGGTCAATGTAACCGGCGGCGGGCTAGTTGCAAATGTGACGATAGTCGTAGGGTCCCCAGGTGTTCCAGGTGTCAAAGTAGTTAGACCTGTCGTTGTGCCTGTGGACGTGACTGTGACAAAAGGAGGGCCAGTTACAAGCGTGACGACAGTAGTAGGATCACCAGGTTTTCCAGGTGTAAGAGTGGTTAAACCAGTCGCCGAGCCTGTCGAAGTGACTGTGGTCAGTCCACCGGCGGGAGGCGTCGCGAATGTTATGACTGTCGTGGAGTCTCCAAGACGACTAGGTTTCTGAGTTATAAGTCCAGTGGTTGATCCTGTAGAAGTGACCGTGACAATACCACCGACGGGAGTTGAGACCAAAGTAATGACTGTCGTCGGATCGCCTGGCCGGCCGGGCGTTAGGGTTGTAAGGCCAGTCTGAGTACCGGTGGACGTGACAGTCGTCAATCCCTCTGAATAAGGGGACACAATAGTAACGACTGTAGTTTGGTCGCCAGGCTGACCAGGCGTCAAGGTAAGAAGACCAATTTGGCCGGGCCGAGTTCCTGTCGACGTGGATGTGACGAATCCTCCTGTGGCAACAGGAGGTGGCACAATAGTAACGACAGTGGTCGGATCGCCAGGACGGCTGGGCGTCAGTGTGAAAAGACCAGTCTGACCTGACTGAGTGCCAATTGAAGTAGAGGTAACTAAGCCGCCGGCGGGAGGAGGTACAATGGTGACAACTGTTGTTGCGTCTCCTGGTTGGCTGGGTCTCAGTGTGAGGAGACCAGTCTGACCTGACTGAGTGCCAGTTGAGGTAAAAGTGACCAAGCCGCCACTGAGAGGGGGCTCAATCGTGACAATGGTAGTGGGATCTCCTGGTTGACCGGGGGTCAGTGTGAGAAGGCCGGTTTGGCCTGGACCAGTGCCGGTCGAAGTTAATGTCACTAAGCCGCCGCTGGGAGGGTGGGCGATAGTAACTATCGTTGTAGGATCACCGGGCTTGCCAGGCGTAAGAGTGAGCAATCCGGTTTGACCTGAACGGGTGCCAGTTGACGTGAAAGTTACTAGCCCATCAGTGGGAGGAGGCACGACGGTAACAACAGTAACAGGATCTCCGAGCTTACCAGGCGTAAGGGTTAACAACCCGGTCTGACCTGGTAAGGTTGCAGTCAACGTAGAAGTCACGAATCCTCCTGTAGGGGGAGACACGATGGTAACGATTGTTGTAGGATCTCCGGGCTTCCCGGGGGAAAGAGTTAATAGTCCTGTCTGGCCAGGTTGAGTACCAGTCGACGTGCTAGTTATCAGACCTCCCGTAGCAGGGGGGACGCAGACAATCTGAGTTCCGATTCGATCAGTTCCCGATGGAGGCAGGGTCAACGTCATCAATGCTGTATCGAATCCTGGAGCTGTGATTGTCGCGCAAGGTCCGTTGAAAGGGGGATTTCCAACGTTGGGCGTGGGATTCAGAACGAGCTCAGTGCCTGTCTGGTCGCCACCAGCAGGGGGAATCGTCAACGTTGTCTTGGCCGAGCCTGGATAAAAAGCGGTGAACGTCGTCATGCTTCCATTGTATGGGTAGTTGCCTGGGTTGTCCGTTCCCGGCAGCCAAGGCTTGTTTGACTCAAGCGGCGAACATATGTACTTTGTCCCTGTGGCCTGGCCGCTCTGTGGGGCAATTACAATAGTCGAAGGCTTAGACCCGGGAGGTAGAGCTGCAGTTACCGTGACGCAAGGTCCTGTGTAGGGCGATTCGGTGTTGCTATAGGTTTCAAACGACTTGTCAGCAAGATTCCAGTCAATTCGAGGCTGAATACTCACACAGTGGAGATGTACGTGACCGTAGTGGTAGCCAGGAAGTCAGATGTAATCAATGCAGGAGCATTGGTGACTTTGACCGTAGTACCCATGACGGTAAAGGTGACATTCTGGGAAACAGAAGTGCTGAGGTGAAGCGGGATGCAATGAACAATCTCCAGGGGCTGAATGGTCGTCGGGACAGCACCAGGCCCAGTGATGGGACAGTCCACGCTTGCTAAGCCAAGCCATGGGAGAAAAGCCACAGTGCTCATAGCGGTTGTGAGGAGCGGAATTCGCTTCATGGTCATTGACACCTGATATGGAGCTTTTTTGCGTCAAACGATTGTGCAGGTATGAATCTTGGAAGGTACTTTAAAAACGAAAGTTGATGAGTCGGTGTTTGGTTGTTCAGAATACTACTTTGAGGTTTGAGAACCCCCAAGATCTTATACACAAGCTCCTTCAACTCGACGTTCCCGAATCTTGCAAACTAGTTAACTTGCAAGAACAGAGACGGGAGCCAAAGGCCCTTACTCAACCCCACAACCGAGCTGAGAAAGAGTTAATGATTTCCTTTCCTAACCTGATGAGGCACGAATCCAACCCGGAAACAGCTCAATCATGGATTGAATGAGCTGCAAGTAGTTAACCGAGCTGCAAATGGCACCATTCTGGTGACTTCAGCCCGGAGAGCACTGTCCCGGGGCATCCAGACCATCGAGGCATACCAGGCAGCATCTGCTCATCCCATACGACTTCATAATCATTACAAAAGAGAATTCCCAGGGTGAGCCCGAGCTATCGCCTCATTTTGACTAGATGTTAGACTATGGCCGATTGCGTCTACAAGGACTTGCGAGGGGAGCTGAGTTGTGGATCTCACGATCTGATACGCAGCGTCTGCTCTGAGTTGAATGACCCCGGTTGCTGTCCAAGAGCAGACATTTGGGAAAAAAGTCAAAACAGTGAAGCGAGCGACTATTTCCCGAGGCAGACATACTGCCAGTCAAAAAGCTGAAAACTTCTCTAGAGTGGCCTGTTTTCACACCTGATTGCCATCTGCAAGCAGTATGGCCTCACACTAGTAGGATCAATCATTGGCAAAGGGCAAGCAAAAAAGTGTACCCATCGAGTGATAGATGCTGTTTTTCTCGGGATAATCTTCGGAGACATTGATAGCCTTGGAATCCAGCATGACCGGATGTTGACGAAACATGTTAACCGAGAATGTATAACATCAAAACATTCAAGTTGACCACGAGGATAAAGTATATAGAAGCTCATCTCCACAATCCAAGGAATCAAGAACATTCGATCAACCATTCTGACAGCCACTGCATCGTCGTCGAGCCATTACACTCTTAATCAAATTACTTAAAATGAAGCCCTACAATCTTCTACACTTTCTTCCTATGGCACTTGCTGCGCCCCCTGTTGTCGATCCATTCCTTCAAGTGTGCAGAGTATCGGTAACATTCTCCGCGATCACCAACACTCTCCTGCTGCCGCCGCAGACAATCTCCCTCTGTGATAACACGAACTGCGCCAATCCTACCATCGTGGCCGGTGGAGGGGTTTCTTCTGGGTCGCCGGAACACCAGGACCTAAGTACTCAACTTCCCCAAGAAACCGGAAGTCAATTCCCTGGAGGCAACCCTCCCGCTGGGCAGCCTGCTGCCACCCAATCTGCCGGGGATAGTGCTACCGCCGGGCAGCTTGCTGCCACTCAGCCCCCCGGAAGCAATCTTCCCACGGCAAAGCCTGCGGTCAGTCAAGCCCCTGGAGGCAATTCTCCCGCTGGTAGTTCTGCCGGTGGCTCAAATGGCAATCCGCCTGCTGCCACGGCTTCGGCCCTAGCGGGCTCTGGCATGCCCACTGCCGTGACGACATCGTCGGCGTCTCGATCGTTTGGTGCTCAATGGGACGAGCTCTTGGTTATGGGGGTCATCACCTTAGTGGTTGTGGCTTCTCTCGGGCTTGGGCTCTAGTATCCGGCCGCTTCGAACAGAGGGGTTCAACAGGATTGACGGCAGGGTAACTAGTGAAGTTTCGTACGCTGTGTCTTCGTAGCGGGTCATCCTTGGTCGAATGAATCGGATTGGAGATTTTTTGTCCGCTAGGCTAGATTTGAGAACTCGCCGCTCCTGGATGAGTAGACTCTGTCGATACAGGAGTTGGCATCGGTATCGGGGGATTGGGTGGGGGGTTTGCCTTGGCCATTTCCAAAGGTAGACAAATGTAGTTCTGATTTTTGTCCTTTCCTGCCGAGTAATAATCTATCGAGCTTTATATTGTCAATGAAATGTTGCGTATCACGTTTGCTTCCTGAGTTGATTGTGCGAAATTGTAGGGCTTGGCCGTACGACGGCTGGGGTTGAGACACGGCCAGCAAAGGAGACCGTTGAGTTGATATTCTTCCGGAAGAGGAATGGTATACATAGCATGTCTTTCAAGCCCTTGCGCCGATCCTTCGGGTCTTCGCACGTTTGCTGACCACGACTCCAGGTCACATCAGCACTCAGCCAAGTAACTCGTCGCTCGACAATCCCTCCACTCACCCAATTTTATATACTCTGGTGAGTACATGTATGGATACTAGGGTTCCCTCTATTCCCTTACCTCAATCTATTTTTTCTAACGCACGACATGCAGTACTTTTAGTGATCCATCATGCGCACAAATGGGCGACCAGCTCAGCTCACTGACATAATGCCCGGTGAACCCTACAAATAGCTTCTTTCTGTTGTGCACCCAGCCCGAAGTCGACGGCAACGCCGGAAAGACGAGTCATGTAAGTCACAATCTAAGCAGTCACATACCAGTCTACATGGAATCTACTGCTTGCTGATCCCCCTCTCCCAAAACTAATTTCAAAGAACAAGTGGTCCCAGCTTCATTCACTTGAGATTGACGTTGAGATGGTACGGGCTAATGAATACTAGCCGCGGAATGAAGTTGGCGGGTATCGTTGCTTCAGCTCCATTTATCCGAAAACCCGACGCAGAAATGTCAGCCTTTTCGAAGAGGAGTTGGAACCTCATCCGACAACCCTCCCCGTACGGGTTAGGCTGTGAAACAGACATGACTAAGCGTCGTGGTCTAGCTATGAAGGTGCATTAGACAGAGTTGAATCATCGTATCCATTCACCCAATATGTATCAAATGTCAAGGGAACCCCGAATGAAAAAAATCCTCAAAACATCACGACTGTCGAAGACAGAACATCTCCCTGTTGGTGTCCTTGTAATATGACATGATTATACATCTTTGCTTAATTGTGCTTACATATCTATTCGAGCCATTAACGATGATTAGAGAATTCCGAACGTGCCTGTCGCGGCGCCGGAATCGATCAAAGGCATGGCGGATCGGCTCCTGGCAAGGTTATACAGGGTGCTCGGAGCCGATACCAGCACACAACCCAGCTTATAACAAGGCACCGTGTTCAGTCTCGGAACTCAAGACCCATAGAAGCTGTCAGCTGCACAGGGTCCCTGTGTCTGCATACTCAACGTCGGTTCACGTTCCAGGCCATCGTGGCTTGTCCTAGTCCACCAATCGTTGTGGCGTGGTGGAGGCGGTGGTGACTTGCCAGGGCCCACGGCGAGTCAGGCCGGCACTCTGAAGACATCGCGCCCGGCAAAGTCGGGCTAGATAGATCATCATGCACCTCGTCTCCCTGCGTCCGGATGCAGCAAAAGATGAAAAGGGAAGCATTTCCAGCGAGGCAGAAGAGTTCCCGATACCCACCGGCGCCACCTCGTTAACCGCGCTAGGAGATCTCGCCCATTGTCTGGTTGAGATGATCTCGAGTTTGCTTCTGTGACGACTGGTTAAGGTGCAATTATGCCGTGTTGGTATCCCATTGTTCGCCGTCGCGCTCTAAATGATAACCCAACAAGAGAGGACAGAGAATCCTGTACCCGGCAGCCGTGGGAAAGGTTCCTCGGTGATCTTGCCGCACCTTGATTGACGTTCCCGGATATCGGGGGCTTTTGGCATCAACGAGACCTCTGTGCCTTGTAGCCGAATATGGTGGTCGAGATTATGACATCTGACACTATGCCGAAAGCACTTTTTTGGCCACCCCTCTCGAACTCTCAACTTGAGAAAGACTCTGGTCGAGTTTCTGGGAACAGGCGCGGGATGCGCGTGATTCCCGGACACAACAAGATCAACTGGGCAACTGCATCCGTACTCTGAAAGATTGGGAGAAACGCGGTCGCGCGTGTTTCTGAATACCTACGGGATGGAGAAAAGGACCTCCATCCAATCAGAGCGTCGCAAACGTGGGGAGAAATGTTTGGATCTCTTTGCAACACTCGGTAATTATGTGGCTTGCACGTACAGCGATGGTCGCAGTGGGTAGAGAGAGCAGCACGAGGCATCACGCGTGAGCAAGTGCTCTACAATTTCGAGTAAGATGCCAGTGTTTTTTCGTACCAGTCAGCTACAGGGAAACCCGGAGGTGAGGTGGCATGTCTCTGGTCTCAACGGTAATGACACAAAGGCGTCCATCCTACATACACACAACAAAAAGTTAAGGGCTAGCTTCGAGAGACGTCGAACGAGAATCAGGAACCGCTCTACAAATAGGTCATGGCATCACAGAGTGTACGAGCAGCTTCTCACTTTAAGTTATGCCATATTCGTTTAATAGTAAGAGCACGGTAAAAGCGAGAACATAGCGATATCAAATAGAATACGATCGTGAATACTTTGGAGGTAATTGCCGAGAAATACAGCGTAGACTCTGCTGATACAATGGAAGCATGTGGATGGGTTCGAGATTCTCACGGAATCTAGGGCAAACAGCTCCCTACATGTTCAAAATCACAGCGATGTGGCCTTGATGTCACGGAATTCATCGAGGATTATGTGACACCCGGGTCTTCTTGCAACCGGGCTGAGTCCATAAAGCCCGGCGAGGGCCCAGACCCCGCGTAGTGCCCAGACGTACGTAGGTAGTAACGTCTTTCGGGAATGTTTTTGCGCGATTATTTGGTGAGACTCTAACTTCATCAGCAGCATGGGCTGACTATCGAAGTACTGGCGAATTGCCGCATCGTCACATCCTAGCAGTCTGGTTTTACACGGAGAGGGCACCCGCAATACATTATCGGAAGCGCCAACTGCGCAATCTACAGGTCCTTTGCTTTGGGGAGAGGTATAGATCGTGCGGCGGCTGATTTTAAGTCCGTGTAATGATGCGGTTGGCCGCATGATGCCAATAGTGAGATCGGAGGCGCTCATGAACGCCACCCTAACATCGGCAGTAACGAGCTTCGGCGCTTCAACTCAGTCAGTGTCTCTGTAAGCGCAACAACTTGGATATGGTCTAGGCCTGGACATTGGGGTTTCCCTGCGAGCCGTCAGCTGCGATAGCGCAAGCAGCAGGTGTGCTTCGCATCTTCAGTTTTTAGTTCGAAGCTTATCTGTGATTAAACCTATATCTGTAGGGGTAACCTTGTCATGATCTCCAGAAAAACAGACTTAATCTGATTAGTGTAGATCAAAACCCCGGGTTCCCGGGAAGACCGTGCCGAGTTTTGGGTGAGCAAACTGAGATGGTCTATCAAGTAGACATTTGGACTTCTAGGCAGATCGGTAGGGCGAAAAATACTGGCGTGGACGCGATATTTACGCCCGTTAGGATGGTGTCATTTTCATCATCCATTCAGTCCAACATCCACGGAATTCAACCGTAACAGACAGGGTGAGAACGTCGGACACGAGCGTATTGTGGTCTTGCAACGGGTTACAACAGCGATAACTGTACACATGTCTGAACCCAGCAGTCCTGCAAACAACGCCAAGTCAGCTTTTAAGAACACCATCTTTTAGTGGTTTTTCTAAGTTGTGATGGTCTTCTCCTCTTATCAACCTACTTAGTTATTTTTCACACGGTTGGCGGGCTTGACGCTGCTATAATAGAGGCTCGATCTTATTTGTTATTGGATTAAGACGACGGAAGCTTGGTTCAACTATTGTAATCGTTGCCGATACCCGTCCATTGGAACGCTTTGATACACAACCAGGTCTTGACCAACTCCGCTAGCTTTCACACAAGCAGCTCCTATCACCGGTTGGCAAAATTGGATCATCAGCGTTGTGTCTCACGGAGCATAATCGTTGCGAGTTGGGTGCCAAGGGATGTCTCCCTCTCATGCTAAAGCCAAACTCCCTGGACCCCGCCTCCTGTATCTCTTTCCCAACCTTTTTTTTCCATTTTCGTACAGAGTAGCAGAGTACATATACACGTTCTCCTAAGGCTTTCCCCTGAATATGGTATAATGGTCGCTGGTGTCAGCGACTGCTATAGGACTTCAGCATAGGCAAATTATTTCCCAAGCCCATGATGTCTTCCCGCCTGCTCTCCCACAACCATCTGGCTGAATGTACGCTAGGTGACTATAGATACCAGGCTAAGTCTAGCCACTCATACCCAGGATTGCGTAAGCCCCCATGGTTTGATCCATCGACATGTCGCCTATCGAATCAGACCAGTTCATGTCCCAGCTGAGGGTTCTTTATTACAAACGCATATAGTGTTTTAGGGAATCCGGCACGCAGTAGCCGTGATGTGTAAGTGGAGTGCCGCAGTGCCCAGGGCTCTCCTGTAGAGTGTCGTTATAGCTTCGCTCAGCTGAGGGGCAATGTAAAACTTTGTTGCCGGATGACTTAAAATCTATCTATTGAAATAATAGTAAGTGCCCCCCTGTAAGTTAAATTTTGTAAATAATTTCAAATTTTATCTAAGAATTCTACGCCTATTCCCAAGCCAGAAGATGGAAGAACATGTGTAACAGAGTGTGCGCTCGATTAGGAAGGTTTTCGATCATGAGGGCCGGAGAGGGGAAGCCGTGGCGTCCGTCGGTATGGGCAGGCATTAGGGCGAGATACCTGCAAGAGGACGTCTACCTAATAGCAGGCAATATCCGACTCACTGGAAGATCAGGGGCCAGGTGCCTCTGAGTGTGTTTCCTTG